AGTGGTAGAAAATGAATGAATGAATACCCTCATGAACCAGAGAGTAATTTGTTTAGTTTTCTCTGCGGTGATAAATGTATAATTCAATTTCAGGCTTTAAAAAGTAATCATTACCAAGCAAGGTATTGCTGTGCCACCATCAACTGACACCTTGAGAATGTGTTATAGAGGTTAAAAAAAAAAAAACAAAAATACTTCTGCCTCCCCTCCAGACATACCTACCAGATGATAAACTTAATCACCACAGGGCAACACAGACATGCAGCCCTAATCACCAGTCTATGTTTGGATTTCTCATTGAACACAGCAAATGCCATGTCCTTGTGGTACAAGAATAATATAAAACACCTTGTTCCTGAGTCATCACCCATTCCCCACCTCCTCCAAGCTCTCCCCCACTCCACCACAGCACTGTAGCCTTCCAGTTTTCCATCACCCCCTGTGAATATCCAAGCTGTTAAGGCTGACTGGCCTGAACGTTCTATTGCCAGGGCACAGTTGGAACAGATCCGGCCTCCGGGCAATATACATGTACTGCTCCACTCCAGCCCCTGCAAACAAGGCCTGCCCTGCACAACTGTCATCAAAATGCTAAGTGCTTTGGATCGCCACAGTAGATTCCTTTTGTACATATTTAATCATGTTTTGGAGACTGCTTGTCCTTTTGGAACATGTCTTGTCATTCATTGATTTTGGACTGATGTTTCTGTAGAGAAAGAGTCTTTGTTAATCACCAAAGTGTACAATGGCATAAATCTGTATACAGTAGATGATGCAGATACTTTGTTTGGCTCCCCTATTTAAGAATTATGTGATTCACTTTTCTCACAGGCGTACTTTTGTGAAACAAAATGTTGTAATGGTTATCTTTTAGATGATGGTATATGACCTGTCCGCTGAGTTAATCACCCATTTGCACCCTTTGGGGGCTGAGAAATGTGCCCATCAGGCTTTATGGGAACATAAGCAAAGCAGCCAAGCTCACTTTAAGGGGAGGCATGTTGAGAGACAGACTCCAGACAAGCCTCTCAAATAGTTTCATGTCAAATCCACCGACATACAAATCTTCACAATGATCTGCCAAGTTTCTGCAAAATTCACTGGAGCAGGAATAGCAGAATTTCACACCCCCCGCCCTGAGCTCCGGCTCCTCTCCTCTCAGCTATCGCTGGACTCCGCTTGGCAGCAGAAGGTGATGGGAAACATCTGTGAAAGTCAATGTGTGTGTGTAGATGGTTGAATACATTCACCAGATAAGGAATTTTGTTTTTAGTTTTTTTTTTTTGTTTTTTTTTTAATTATTTTTGGAGGCAGCTTTTGCATGGCATCACACGGGTCGATTCTTCTAACATAAATCTCAAACTGGAATGAATGAAATATGAAAGTAGATGCAACTTGCAGACTGTTTTAGTAGTTAAAATGCTCTAGGGCTGATGTTGTAGAACTGATTCTGCAGCTTTGTTGGCAGATAAATGAACAGAAGCAATTGGAAACAGGAAATAAATGACAATGCACTTCCTTTGCAGCTAAATTACTTCCTGGGCCTGGCAAAAAAGAAGTAAAGGCAGCCTCCGATTGGTTTCATTTTCAGTCAGTTTTCTTTGCACTCACATTGTTGTTTGGTTATTTCCTTATACTAGTCAGCAGAGGAGAATGATTCAGCAGGTCCTCTGGATGCTACTCTGCAGCTGCCAGAGATGTGACTGCTCAGAGTCACTGAAGTCTCTGTTATTTGAGTGTGCTGAGCAATATAAATAATGAAATGGAGCCAGTAATTGGTGGTTCATGGTAATTAGGACCAAGCTGTCAACTAGCGAGTTTGCCTCCGTCTGATGGCACTGCAGCAAGGGCAGTAATTACTATTATCTATGGGGGTTGTT